AAAAAAGCTGTCCTGCTGTGACGCAGGACACTTCCCCGTCTTAGGAAATGATGTCGTTTGTTTGTCGGGTTCCTTGCTGATTTAATGGCGTCGGTGGGATTCTGTCGGTTCCTGTTCCTTGAGGGGAACCTTTTTATCTGTAGTTTTAAATTTCCATTCATTCCAGTATTGTGGCAAACGCTTTTTGCATCCGTGATGGAGTTATCTTAATTAAAATCTTTTCATTGTCGTGGTCGGATTCAGGCTGTGACTGTTCACAACAAGGGGGAAAAAAAAAACAATTTGATCAATCATTCACAAGGGAACTTAATGTGCTTAAATTACGTTTTAATTTAAAGAAGAACATTAGAAACAATAAAAAAAATTAAAATACTAAAATTAATTAAGATCTCAATCGTAAGTATAAGAATTTTTTTTTTTAAATCTTGGCTTAAAAAAATATTCACTCAGCTGACTTCACTTGTTGTGGTAGTTTGTTCCACTTGTTAGCAGCTAAATGCTGCTTCGTCACGTTAGCTTTCAGCGCTCCACCAACTGGCCTGGAGTGTGTAGATCTCAGAGCTCCGTTGGGTGTTTTCTATTTTTTTTATATATATAACATAGTTCTCATGTTCACTCCGTCTTGTCATGTTGTTTCATCAGTTTCCTTGATGTTATCTCCAACAGCAGATCTGATGAGTTTTGATGAGCTGTCGTATACCTCAGAAAAGCTCTCTCACCCCACCGCTAACAGACCAAAAATGCCCGGCAGAAGGTTGCCCGCCCAGTTTGGTGGCACTCAATCAGTGAGTAAACTTTTTTTTTTTTTTTTTTTTTTTTTCATCAAAAGAATCTCAACCTGCCTCATCAGGTTTACAGGTCAACTCTAAAGAGAAAAATTCGCTTTTGGAAACCCCATGTTCCCTACAGAGAAGATTAAAATAAAAGAATTTAAAGACACCAATGATTATCCCAAATATTTGTCACCCCTAGTGGTTACACACCAAAACACAAAATACACCGATTATAGTTTAATCTGTGGGATAAGACGACGAAGAAAATGACTATGTCACCGTATTCTATCCCAGATATCCTTCAGTTTTTCTTCAGTTTCTATGGCTCGACTTTTCACACAGCAGGTTAAACCTGTCCTTCCATGCACCTGCCTGAAGGGCCTTTCGGAGCACAAGTTAATGTTGTGCACACGGCTGTGCAAACAAGCAGGCTTTCCTCTCATTCTCTCAACCCACAAGCTGCAGCTGCACCACAAACACTGCAGCAGGGTTGGACAGGAATGTGGTGGATGTCACATGTCAGGAACATAGTTCATTGCCGGCTGATTGCAATGGTTTATAGGCCAATCGCAAAAACAGAATATGTATGTGTATGTATGTGTATATATGTATATGGGTAAATATATTTATATATAGATATGTATATTTCATTAAATTTTTGTAGGTTAGAAAATGTTTTTTAATCACGAAAATATTGGGAGTTTAAAAAAAAAGATCTTAAAATACTGCGATATAGCGAAACTTCCGCGGAACAAATACAAAAAAAATCTGTGATGTACTGAGGGAGCAAAAGGAGAACCCCAACATAGAGAGGGAACACTATATATATGTATATGTACGGATATGTATATATTTATTTATATATATATTTATTTATATATATGTATGTATATGTGTGTGTGTATATATATATATATATATATAACACAGCCATTAACTGTATTCTTCCTTCCTGCAAGGAAACGTATGTGGAGAAATCCGTTAAGGCTGATGAAGAGGACGGAGCCAAATCAAAACTAACGGAGCCCAGAACGGTCATTTCCAAGAATATTTCTTTTAATGCCGTATGTATCAACAATACAGTTCTTAAGGTCTGAGTATTGTGCGTTGAAAAATCACCTGATTATAGCACATCATTTATAATAATCACACAAACATAGCATATTGCTGAGCATTACACCGAAGGAATCACACCGACAGCTTCAGAAAATAAGAAAACACTTTGCTTATGAATTATAAGCGACCTAGCTTTACTTTGGTTACGCGTTGTTTAAATAATAAAAAAAATAAATTTGTACTATATTGATCCCATATTTGGGAAATTGTTGTGTTAGCAGCAGATATGCTGTTAACAGGCTGCCCCTAGCAAGCGTCAAGCATGTGGTTCTTCTGGGAATCGAACCCTCTGCTTCCGAGGCAGGCGTGCTAACCGCTATGGAACCAACAATAGCGCATAGTTTTGAGACATCAGATAATAACTCATAGCTTTTATGGAAGCACAGTTTGCCCATATTTGGTACAAAAGGATTTTGTTAATAATGACTAATCGTGATTAATTGAGATTAATCAACATTATTAGCAACATTTTGTCCTTACAACAAAATTATACAAAATATGAAATCTCTTTTATCTCAGGGTAGCTGTGCGTTAATCATGATTAATCATGATTAATTGTCACTCGTAATAGTGATTATCCGTGACCAATCAAGACAATTCAACATTACTAAATATGAGAAAACCTTTTCTGTATATTGTTTGTATTTGTAACCAACCCAAATGATCCATTTTAAAATGACCAAACTCAAAATTTAACATCATAGAGTTGGTGGATTTTAGTCGTTACTGTGATTTTTGACATTGACTTGGCGATTGTCCTTGACAACATTCGTCTCACGTCTTCGGCTGCAGACTTGTGGCTGGGCGACGGACCGGAAATTGAAGCCTCCACAAATGCATGCTGGGTGTTAAGATGATAATTTAAGCTCCTGCAGTGTGTTCAGTTGATGACGTGTGTTGCCGACTGTGTCACCGGAGCAACTATACGTAGATGGGGCTTAAATCACAAGCTTTACCACATGTCACATTTTCTGTCTCGATTTATTGCCAATATACCTACATGATCGCTACACATGCTAACGTTCCTAATTCATATTTAATGAATGTGTGCGACGTATTTTGTCTTTCCGATCGACCATAAATGCGCAAATTAAATATTGATAGAAAATACCATGCCGCACCTATAGGGGGCAGTGACGTGCGGGGACATTCTGGACTGACCTGCGGAACAGGTTATGTTTTGAATGTTAAAAAATGAAAATAAATACAGACAGTTTTGGAATATTTTTTATAACATTTGTAAAACATTATATAACGTTCGGGTACCGTCAAAAAATTTGCAATGGCCGATGAAGATGGAATTAAAAAAAAAAAAGATAAAATCAAACCACCACCTGTTGTTTACTCCTCAAGGTTCGGCTTCTCATTAATTACCTGAGATGGTATCTGGAGTGGATTGGTCACGATTAACAGGGACCAATCAGAGCTTACTCCACAGCTGGGGGGCAACAGAACATTAGACCTCAGTGATTAAGCCAAACACACCCACACACACAGACAGAAGTAAGCCGACTAAATCCTCACCTGAAGCTCTTATAACCGAGGGGCTCAGACGGCCAGATTTGCAATGATAGGGAACTGAAGTTGACCCACCAAGTTAAGATTCTGATCCAGGGGTCATCGCCCCTTGTTTTTCGAACTATAGTTGTCTGAAGAACAGCCATGACACCTGAAAATCACAAGGAAGAAACACCCATTTTTTTCAACCTGCCATTTTAGAAAATGACCGAACAAAACCAGAACCGTCATCAGGAAGTTCTACAGTTTTTTTTTCTCACTCTGTTATGGATGTTAGGATCCAAACAAGAGTCTTTTGGCTTAACACTATAACGCTAAAGTGATCGCCATATGCCTTTTTGCACACCATTGGGAGATAACAAGCCATGAGCCACCGGTATATCCGACATCTGTATTCTTTTGCTTAATAAAAATCTACAACGATATGTTTTCTTGCTTCAGAAGCAAAACTGCGGCTAACAAGCATTAAGCTAGCTGTACTAGCTAGCTTTCCCAGAGGAATACCATGCTCGGCGCTTGCTAGGGGCAGCCCGTTAACTGCATATTTGCGGCTAATACAACGATTTCCCAAATATGGGATCAATATAGTACAACTTAATTGTATTTATTATTTTATAAAGTTTAGCTGTTAAGCTATCGTAGCTGACCTGTCTCTCAGAATTGTAAAACATTTCACGTACACGTGTAAGAATTGTTCAGTAAAACCTACTGAATCCAATTTTCTGCTACTTAATATTTGGAGAAGAAACTGTAAAAGAAGGTTTTCTTCAGTTTTTTTTCTTCTTTCTTCTTTTTTTCCCTGCTACCTTGACTTTCGATACAAAAGGTCAAAGCTACTATTTTTTCTTTCTGTGACCTTTAATTAACTTCATTCATGCACTTATCTTTTGTGCTTTCCCGGCGTGAGACGAGAAGTGAGTTCGCTGCGAGCCGGTGCCAAATCTCATTTATTTCTCAGAATAAGTCTTCCCAGGAATGAAGACGCTCTGAGCGAGCCATAAAGTTTATGAAGCATCAAAGCGAAAGTGCTTTGAATTAATACCCTTCATAATAATGATAATTTCAACTTTTTTATTTTCTTTATTTTTTTCTTCTTCTACACAGCCAGCAGCAAACATCCTATCACATTCACCTTCCTTTCAAAAGCCCAGTCTGACTAGTACGGAGAATGAACCCAGCCCGGCGGCGGCAGCGGCAGCGATAGCCTCCAGCTCCAACAGCGTCTCTCAGGGCAACCGGTTCCGACCGGAGTCAGAAGATTCCAGTTCCGACCTGGAGGAGCTGAGGGGCCAAATGAAGGATCTGCTGATGTCTGTGGAGCTGCTGAAGGCTCAGCAAATGTAATGACCGCCCAGTTCAACATGTTGCTTGGATATAATAATAATAATAATGTTATTTATTAAAGCGCACTGTAGAGGTACTGTGTGCGTGGAAGGTCAGGACGCATTAAATGATTTCACAGTCTCCGTTCAGGCAGTAGACTGCACTTAATACAGAGCAGTTTTCTGTTTCTCAGCATTGCGTTAAAATAACATCAGTGTCGCTGTGTTTTTTCCAGGAAAGAGATATCAGATCTGCGACGAGAGCTGGACGAGGAGAGGATAAAGCGCGTGACTCTTCAGGTGAGGGCTGGTTCTTGGGCCTAATGCACTTATCGAGTTCTTACTAAATGTTTTTTCGACAGGCAGCCTATCAGCGGACGGAGTCCGTAGACCTCCGGGATTGGTGCGTTACGGATGTGATGAGAGCTGTGTGACTTAGAGCAGGAGTCTCGGACTCAAATAATGTTTTTTTTTTTGTAACAAAAGCTTAACTATACTATACTGCAACCAAATTTTGACTTTTGACTCCAGGGATGTTTTTTTTTCCAGTCACGTGATTGCAGGCGTCCAATCAAGATGAGCCAGATTGGATTTTTTTTTTTTAATGAACATGATTTATAATAACGAAATTGAAAGAATACAGTTGTTAAAGATTGTGTGCGTTGTTGTTTTTAATCATAATTTAAAATAGAATAATAATAAGTTGAAAAATGTTTTTCAGGCAATCTGTTTAAATTCCAGGCCGACTCAGGCATTTTAACAATTGAAAAAGACAGCTATTCAAAAATTAATTTCAAGGCAAAATTACTATTGATATTTAGTCATGGGTATGCAAATAACGTTCAAGAGGTCACATGACCAACGCAAGCTAATACGCTTAGCTAATAAAAGCAGTCAATTAGACAGCTTTCATAGGTACACAGTAATTAGTACAAACAATTTTTACATTCAAAAAGAAAAAAAATGGATCAGTTCCATTATGACACTCGAACATAACAATTTTTACATTTAAAAAGAAAAAAAAAATTGATCAGTTCCATTATGACACTCGAACATAACACTGTGCAGTTGGTAAGAACAGCTGCACAGACATAGGCAGGCATCCAGAAACATTATGGCAGATTAGTGTGCTTCTGTGCAGTAGACGCTCAGAGACTTTCAGTGGAATTAGGAATAATTACCCAAGAACGGTCTCGCTCAGTTCAGCTCTTTGCCTCTGATGTGTTGCCGGGGAAAGCAACTCATCTCAGGCAGAATGTGCGACGCATGTGAGAGTCAGTGGACGCGTGCGGTTTTCACCTCTTTTGCTGAGACGCTGTATATTTGCCAGGAGCATCCATTATCCGAGTCACAGCACCCCGACCTCCCTACCCTCGTTTTTTATTTCAATTTTCACTTTTCTTCATTGTTAGTCGGCGACGCACCGACACTTCTTTCCCATCAACACTCTGTGGACTGAACCTTCAGTCTGGCCTCTAATCTAATCACCACATTACTTTTCAGACCGTGAGAAAAAGCTGCTAATGTCGTCATCTGTAACTTCTTCAAAGGAGCAAACATTCCAGAGTTTCTCTTGGACACGATGTTTCTGATCAGCTCCAAGCTAGCCTGTGAGCCAAACTGTCGGCTTGTAACAGTGGTTTAACGTTTTTCCGCTGCTACGTAGCAGTGAACTTTAGTGTGTGTTGTATTATCGGGCCTACATTTTTAACTCGTTTAGCTGGAAGTAAACGGCCACCATTGGATGCCTCAAACCGATACTCAAAATCTGTATCGCTTTGGGGATCGAACAGCGGAAAAAAGCAACCATAGCCTGTCCGATCCGATAGCTAAGCCCGAATGTTCGACTCTGACATGGCGTAAAAAAGCAATGGCATGTTGGAGGAAAAAAAGAAGGTATCGGCTTGATATCGTATGTTAGAGGAAAAAAAGAAGGTATCGGATTGATATCGGTATCGGTCCATACTAAGTACATACTACGACTAAGTTGAAGTATCGGTATCATTTATTTGCATCCGTGTCTTCACAGATGGAGGTAGAAAAACTCAAGCGGAGCGTTCACCGGACATGAAACTCACGCTGCAACAACAGGGAAAGCCTCGGGCATTGGCCGCCCACCTGTCGACCAATCAGAAAACAGGAGGATGGCAAAGAAAGAGTCGGCGCAAGTGGTCGGGCGGGATGAATCACCCTCCCCGAGCACAAAGCTTTTTTTTTTTTTTTTTTTTTTTTTTTTCTCCTCCCTGGTGACCACAATAAACTCTCCCCATATTTGTAAGATTTCCAATTTGCACATATAATTTCGTTTCAAGTGAGATGTAATTAAGTTACGGATGTATATTTTCTCTCTTTTTTTTTTTTTTTTTTGCTTTTCCTTTGTTGCCAACACAACAAACCAGAGGCCTTACTTCAACTACTGTGCTGAACTTCCGCTAAAGCTCTCTCTCCTTCGTTCTGGCAGCCTTCGAACTCTTCAGGGAGGAGGTTCACCCACAGTACTACTGACTGTAAAAAGCAGGGGGCGCTTGTTTTTCCTTGACTAATTTCTTCTCTCTCCTCTTTTCACACTCCTCAACTGAATATTTTAAACTCAATTGGTAAACATTTAGTTTCAGCTAACACCTTTGTATCTTTGAGTCGATTTGTTTTCGTCACACAGCCGCGGTCAGAGAGAGAGCCTAGCTTCGATTATTGTTTTTTTTCTTATATTTTATACTTTTTTTTTTCTAACATTCCTATTCAGGAAAACACTACTGTGCCTGTCTAACAGAAAATTCTAGCGAGTGTTTCTAATAGGGGTCTAACATTTACCATGATGGTGTCTGGAATATTTACAGCATGATATATGTATATGTCTATTTTTTAAATCTACTGAAATGCTTATCGTCAAATATTCTGTACAGAAGGCCTCAACTACGCTGGGCTATTTTTTTTTTTTTTTTTTTTGCGATGGTTGCTGGGAACATTTACGGAACGTTATCTAGGAGTCTAAAGCTAATATAGATATTTGACGATCCCAGGGGAAGAGAGAGGAGGGCGCTGCACAAACAACGCAACGAAGAAAGCCTCTCTGTTTTTTTTCCCTCATGTGACCGATGTTCGTCCAATCCCCGTCACACTCCATTCTACCTCTGTATCCCCTCCCCCCCCCCCGTCAGTGATCCGATCTGAGATCGGACCGGTCTTTCCGAACTGTGACATCCTTTCGCGTAAGCTACGGCCCCACCGCTCGCTGTACGTGCACCTGTACATCTGGAAGTGCTCGTTTTAATGGCTAGCTCGTTAAAATAGTATAAAATTCATGTACTGTCTAGGGAACAGGTTCAATTTAAAATTGCCTTTTTTTTTTTAAATAGTACTTCGATGGTGTCGATACATGTTGAATGTACTTAAGGGATGAATTGGGGTATTTTTTCAATTCTAGCGACAAAAGGTCAGTACTGCGTGTACATTTACGCTAAAACACAAGAATATGATTTAAAAACTCTGAAGTCTGCAGTCAACATTTATGTCGAGAGAACAAAAGAACCAACTTTTCTGAGGATTTATCCTAGTTGTTCAACAATTCAGGAAGTGACGTCTGCAACACATCCAAAAACTCTGGGACAAAAAAAAAAAAAAGAAATCTGGAAGATTATTCTAGCAAGCATCTTCTGAACGAGATGTTTGATTTTTCACTTCAAGTCCACTTGATGAACTCCCATGGCACACTAATGGAGCTGTAATGATAAATGACATGTAAAAGTCATGCATAAAGGCTAAAATTCTATTGTTTTCTTCGCCATCTATTGGGGAAATGTGGGTATTGCAGGAAAAAGGCAGAAGTATAATGACAATATAAACAAATTATATAATTTGGAAAGGTTTGGCGGGCCGGATTAAAAAAGCTGAACGGGCCGCATCCGGCCCCCAGGCCTTAGTTTGCCCATGCCTGCTCTGAACAACGTACAAAAACCTCATCTGACCCTGTCTTTAAAAAAAAAAAAAAAAACCTCACAGTTGTCAGTGTAGCCTCAGAGCTCAGCATTATTGATTTGTCAATCTTGCACTCCAGAGGTGTGACTGCCTTTTCCACTGCAGTGATTTTCTTAAAATTGGTGTTAGAATGGCAGTGATTACTAACAGCATCACGTGGATTGACATCGTGACCGTCAGGGCCGCCCTACTGGTTTGAAGCAACTCTGAAAAAAAGGCTTTTTGTGATGTTTTCCTTTGTCACTCTGACCATACCCCGGGCTAAAGTTCCACCTTAGCCATGACGCTAATCTTCAAGCGTAACCGCACTTACCGAAACGGGACCAGCAGTCTCAGTGGTTTTCTTAGCATATATTTGGAGTACGTTACCGTTTCCTTACACCTTTGAAGTCGAGGTCTGCGTCATTAGCCTTGTAATGCGATAACGCTGTGGTTGCTAAGGCCATTGGTTCTGGTCGTACATGAAAGTCTGGAAACCTCCATCACTGTTCCAACATTTTCCTGTCCTGTCTCTGTTACGTCGCAAAGAGGAAGGGAACTATCGCAAACATGAGTGAAAGATACAGAAAGATCGTGAAATCAATCTTGACTCTACACTGAGTTTTTCTCCCATTGTCTCACGACAGGCTTTAGTTTCTTACTACTGCTGGAAAAGGCTTCAGGGATCGTGGTGTAACTAGAGGAAATGTGAAGTCGCATGTGATTGACCTCGGAAGCTGACCCTTTTTCAGTGAGCTCACGGCAATGACTTGCATGCTGGAAACTAGCTCGCTAGCTGAGACAATCCTGACCTACTGAGCACAATGCTGACAGTTTTATAGAGAGAACGCAAAAATAGCTTCCTGGTTTTTTTTTTTTCCACTTGGCTAAAAATAGCCATTGGGCTGACTGCAGTTGTCAATGTAGCCGCACCAGGTTGTTAGCGGCAACCGTAGCTGTAAAGGAATTTTAGCCAAATTTGGCGCTGAAATCACGGCTTCTTCTTTGGGTGCTCAAAGTCACGTGCAGTACGGGGCTAAAGTTTAACGTAGTTATGGCTTTTTAAAAAAAAAAAAAAAAAAAAACTTCGTCACTGACTGAACTTTGCCTTCACACCAGCATCAGTACTGTACTTCGAGGTCGTCAAGCAACAGTTACAGCCAAAACACTAAACCAGTGCTAACGATAATCCCCGTCCCAAAATCTTCACGGCGTTGTCTCCTTAAGAGCCTAAGACTAAATTGTCTCCTACTTTTATGTCGTCCTCAGACTTGAGTCCAAGTCACACCTGGGTCTGAATGTCTCTGTGTGTTCGTGTCTGAAGCTTTTTGCTTGTGTCCCACGCAAATGAATGCAGCACACTTCCACGATAACAGGTCACATCTGTCTACGATAAGCGATGCAATCACGCACTGTGATGGTGTGTCATGTAAAAAAAAAACAAAAAAAAAACAAGCTTAAACAATGTGAGCGGTTGATGAAATATCAGGTAGAGGGGTTTTGGGGAAGAGGGAAACAGAGGCGATGTTTATTTTTATATGACCTTAAATGCAGCTTCACTTCCGCGTAATTGTACATTCCAGGATATGACACCAAGAGCAAAGGAAAAAAAAATCATGCACATTAATAACATATTTTCATGTGACTGTTTACAAGAGCTGTATCTTTGCATGAGACTTATTTCCAAAATTGAATAAAACCATTATTTACTGTCATAGAAACTCCTTTTGTTCCTTAATTCCAGCCGCTTTACGAAGTAGTCCGGCCTCACAAAAGCATGCGGGACATTTTTAGGCATAAGGATTTATTATTGGAAATATAAAATGTATTTAAAGAAAATAGGCTACAAAGAAAATCCATATTTTTGACGATATGTCTTGTTGCTGTAAATTGACCAAATAACCTGTTTCTATTTTTTTTATTTTTGCACAATGTCGCCGTCTGCTGACGCAAACGAGCACAACCGACTGCGTTTGACAATCGCCATAACAGATAGAAATTCACGGTGTGCATTAGCGAACTTAGCTGTTTTAGCTACACAGGTTTTAAACAGTGACAAATTATTAAAGGTTGCGACTTTGCCTGTTTTCAATCGATATTATCATATTAACTTTTGTTTTTGTTTTTTTTTTATTTGGTTTTCTTCTATCGAAAGTTATCTATTTTATTCATGTTCCACAAGGGACGTTTAGCGTAGGGACACATTTTATGATGCGCTCTTATTAGGTAATGACGTCGGTTGTTCGTCTTTATAAATAGATATCTTTCGATAAAAAAAAAATGAATTAAAAAAAAAGAATGATTGTATAATGATATTATTAATTGAAAAGAAAATTAAAGTGTCAATATTTTATAATTTAGGAGCTGTTTTAATACCAAATATGACAAAAAATAAACGTTACACAACATCAGTAGCTGGCAGCCATTTTTATTTTTTAAAAGTAGGACGCCTTGGAGGGAAAACGGTTAGAGACCCCTGATCTAGCTGCATTCCTACTCTCACTTCCGATTACGAGCTGTGGGTCACGACTCGATGAACAGGAGTTTGAGCTCAGACATCTTAGAGTAGCTAATAATAGATAATTTTTTTCCCCCCCATTTTGAGAGAGGTTATCTAAGGTCTGGAAGTTGCTCTGGAGAGGTGTCAAGCTGAGTAGACCCTGAGGGAGACCCAGGCCAAACTGGAGTGATTACATCTCCTGACACAAAAGCAGTGTTTATTACTTTAATAATAAAATTAATAATATAAAAAAACATTTTAATAAGACATATTAAAAAACCCCAAAAGACATGACTTGTTTTGGATTTTTTTTTTTTTTTACTTTGTAGAAGCAGTTGTCAAAGTCAGAGGAAATTACCCCTAACCCTCCGAATCGTTGGAGAGACCGAGCCAAAAGTGCAGTTTGTCAAGCCGCCAGTGAAGTCTGCATCTGTGCAGCACAACCAATCAGGACATTCCTCCTGCGGTGTTTGGATAATACACCTTGAAGGAGCAACATAAGGCGGCATGAATCCCACTTTTTTGATCTTTTCTTTTTTCGTGATTAGTTGTTATCACTCAGAGTAGCGTCCGGCATGTAGGGCAGACGTCGGGCTGTGCACATGATCCCAACTCCAACTGTGAGGCTAATTCTGTGAAATCGCTGACATTCATATCATGGAAGAAACATGAAAGAATTTGCGCTAACCTGAAATCCGTGGTAAATCCGTGCTCATACTTGGTCTCATATGATGCTGCGTTTATACACGCAACATTTTAAAGGGAAAGGTGTTCTTATGTCCTGTCGGAATTTCGATAGTCGATACATCTCAACCAGGCGTGGTCAAACTTTTTGAACCGCGGGCCACAATTGTCCTAAAATTGAACACAGGGGGCCGGGTCAGGGGCAGATAGATGGAGCGTTTTTTAGCTAAAATGCTAAGATGCTTTTATCATTTTCTACATGTCATGTATTGGGGAAACGTGGGTATTGCAGGGAAAAGGCATTAGTATAATGATAATATAAATAAATTATATAATTTGGAAAAGTTTGGTGGGCCGGATTAAATGGCTGAACGGGCCGCATCCGGCCCCCGGGCCTTCATTTGCTCTTGGCTGATCTGAACCATAGACAGGTCAGGACCTGCCCGACATCCTACACTTTTGCCCAAGGACCATACATGTTTAAAAAAAACATGTTTTTATATAATCCTGTTTGCATCAGTGAGTGTACTCCTCGACCCAATTGATTACTTGAGTTTTCTAACATGAAAGTCGTTTATATGTTTTCAGGACTGATGTGCTGTGGAGACCCCATGTCGGCCATAGCTTAAATGATTTCACTCACGTTTCGTGGACAGAGGACATGACTCGCACTGATTGCAATCAGGATTTCTGAGCTGACCGACTAAACCTTAGCCTAATGCTACCTACGTTTTTTTCATGGTTGCGTCAACGTCTCCCATAAATTTAGAAGGGCTTGTTCTGTGATTCCAACATATATAAATGAACATATATTAATATATATACATATATTTATACATAAATATATGTATATATGTACATATATGTAATAAGTGTATATATGTATTTACATATCCATATACACACTGACTGTGTGGATTAGTGTCATCGCAGATTTTCGAGGTGACTAGCCTCGCTGAACTTGCGGCTAGGCCAATATAAAAGTTACATGCAGTTTAATTATCACATCTGTTTGCTTCAGTCGATTCAGAACTTTTTTTAGTCACAGGTGGAGTTTAACTGAAATAGCTGGCTGCTGTGGACATGAATTAATAACTTGTGGCACAAAAACACTTCACAACACAATGATAGTTCTTCTAACGCACCCCAAGCGTTCTCTTTAATGTGTTTCCTCACACAAACAGACACATGTTTTACTCGCCCTCTCGTTGTTTGGACCATCTGTTCCAACACCTTCCAACATGTAGTGAACGTGGTCTGGTGTAAATGAGTTCTGTCAACACGCTGGGATCAGCTCAAAGGATGATTATTACACCCCGAAGCAAACTTGCATGAAAAAGTTTGGCCTGTTGTTCTCACTCTTCTGGATTAAGTTTTTTGCACGTTAGAACGTTAAAAAAAAATATTCATAACATGAAGTGTTTGTGCTTTTTTTTTTAAACCTTCAACATTCATTAAGCGGGGCCGGATTGAGCCTCCTGGCGGCCCAGTTTTGGCCCACGGGCCGTATGTTTGACAGCTGGTTTCAAAGCCATTACATCTGATTTCCTGATGATGATGAAAACATCAGGTTTAAACTTCCCAGGTGTTTTATAGTCATAGTCGCAAGCTAGGTTAATGAGTTAATCAATTCATCTGTATAGAATTGTCCAATGTAGATTTGTATAGAGAGTGCTATGTTGCATGAAGAAATAAGCACAATATTATAATATAATAACAAATGCCATACGTTTCAAAGCATTGGTCTTTGAATATGCATTCCTCTGATGCCCAAATGTACTCAAATAATACTTCTGTTTTAATATGCCTGTGCGCGAATGCACCCTGCGTCACCTGTTTCTCCACAACCGAGAGACTGACTGTAGTGCTTTGCGTCCAGCAAGCGGGACATCTGCTCCATCATGTGAGTAGATCAGCCATCGCCCCCTTTCTCCTGATCTTTATCTGCTTCTGAATAAAAACATGTTTTGTCCTGAAAGCAGGCGCGAGGCCAACGTTCCCTACAGGAATTACGATTGAATCCGTCCCGCTGTCAGGAATCATGACCCCATGCATTGTTAGCATACACTTTCCCTGCACTTTGGCCTTGTGGTTTCTGATCCTATATTTACTGTTCATGCTGACTTACGTCAAGAACCGTTGTAATCCTGCAGCAGGTAGCTATCCATTGTACAGCATGGTGGAGCCTCTTGGCAATAACAGGGAAAACATCGCACAAATTACATAAAAGAAAAACAGACACCCCAGTGTATATATATATATACTTAATCCGTTGGGGCTCGCATCACTACACTGCTATGACATGCTAGGCCACTAGTTGGCGCATCACATTTGTGGTATAAGGGGATTTACGTGAACACAGGAAGAATGAATCCTGCCGTGACAATAATTATTCTTACCACAGACAAGAAAATTATTCGCAGCATCCCGGCTAACAAGCTAGCGAGGCAACATTTTTCGTAACTTGCTCACTATTACTAACTGTCCTTGAAGAAGTCCTAGCAGATGCTGAAATAACAATGCAAAGTTTGCATTGGACATCCCTGCCCTAAGACATAGAAACATTAAAAGAGTCAGACTTGCACCTGGGAGTCACAAATTAGGGCAAAAAGTTCCGCAAAAAAAAAACAATACAAATGAAAGAAAGTGAATCAGATAAAGCAGATAAATTGTGAACAATGCCGTCTTCCGCACATAGTGCCACATAACGAATTATTTGTATTTGTTGACATGCAAAATTTTGTGTCCGTACCTCAGGTAACCCTGGAAACCTACCGTATCAGAAAGATCCACCATCCAAAACTGTTGCATACTTGTTCACCGACACCGTCATCGCCTCTTTTCTCCAGAAGATCTAACGGCTCCAATTAAGCAGTTAGCTTCAAACCTTGGCTGTCGCGTAAACGTCCTCCATAATCAGACCATAATCTTTTATTCATATTTTTGCTGCTTTTGTTCCTCTAATTACCGCCACACTTGACCAAGCGTAGGTCCAGGGGTCAGGTAGACGTCTCTCATCTGTAGGTTAGTAGGAAAGAGTACCGGTAGTTGCTCTGTGTAAGGGTAAAGTTGCGCAAGCTTTTTTTTTTTTTTTGTTAAATAAGGAATATAAAGTGACCTATTTTCAGTCTACTGTGTAACATTTAGGGTGTGAAAAGAAAGGGCACTCCACTGTTAAAAGTGTGAAGTTTTTTTGTTTTTTTTTCCGTCTTCCTAAATTTACTGATGACGAATAAACCGCAAAGACGCTTAAAGTTTTTTTTTCTGTCTTCCTAAATTTACCGATGACGAATAAACCGCAAAGACGCTTAAATCAAATCAATATTTAGTGTGATCACACTTGACTTTGAAAAAAAAAGCTTTGATTGGTCTGGCCACAGTGTTGTTTAAAGGAAATTACAGGTAAATCATTTCACACATTCTTCAGAATGAACCTGAAATCTTCTGTGATTTTAAGCTGGTTCCTCGCCATCTTCCATATGAACCAATAACACTCAAAAATGTTGAGGTCAGTGTGCCTGGGGGTGCACA